TTTATGACAGCAAAGAATTTGGCCTGGGCCTTTACTTGGAAAATACCTTCATTAGAGACCACATAAATACTGCTTCAGTGGAGATTTATTCATATTAAAGGAAAGAATTAGAAACATCTTCTTCACAAATGACTTGAAAGGTGAAAGAGAAGATCATCTAGAAATGCCAGCTGGCTACCCAAAACTGTAAGAACTATCTGTTGACAGAAAGAGCCGTTTCCATGGAACTGATGCTCATTAAAATGAGGCCTGTGGGGGAGGCCAAAGCATTAGATTTCAGTTTATTCTGTTATCGATATCTGAACACAATATCAGTCATGAAAAAAAATGTTAGGTTGGAGACTTCGCCTTACAATATCTAATACTTTAAAGGAAGTCCGCAGACTGAAGCAGAAAAAGGTGAAAGTTGTCAGTACTTTTGAATGAGTGACTACCAAGGCTCCAGGGCCAGTGCAAGGAAACGTCCACCTTGCGCCACCCCCCCACCCGGCTAACCCCGCCCCCCCCCCCAGCCACCCCCGCCCCCCCCCCCCCCACGGAACCACGCCCCCCCCCCCCCACAGCAGCTACCCCTCCTCTGCAGCTAACCCCGCCCGGGGAGCCCCCCCACCCCTGCGGCAGCTAACCCCGCCCGAGGAGCCCGCTCCCAGCTCACCTCCGCTCCGCCTCCTCCACTGAGAACACCAGCGCAGCTCTAATTCTCCTCCCCTCCCAGGCTTGCGGCGCCGATTGGAGGAGAATTAGAGCAGGGGCTGTGTGCTCAGCAGAGGAGGCAGAGTGGAGGTGATCTGGGGCGAGGAGCAGTTCCCCTGTGCGCTTCCTCCCCCACCCCGTTACTGCGGGTGGCCCTCTCCGCCCCCCCCCCCCCCGCCCCAGCTCACCTCCACTCCACCTCTTCGCCTGAGCGGGCTTTTAGGCGCCCTCAACCACTAGGCACCCTAGGCAGTCGCCTAGTTCGCCTCGTGGTTGCACCGGCCCTGCAAGGCTCACCATCTATATGGCTTATTTCTGGATTACTTATTAACACATCCCTTGGTTAGGTTTGCACAGAGCGAAAAATCCTGCAGGACAATAAGAGGCACCCGAGTAAGTGACAAAGAGTCACGATCAGGCATGTCAGCCCCCTGGCACGCCCTGAATAGAATTCCCAAAATAACTGCATTGTCACCAAGTGAAAAGAGTGACAAGTGTGAAATCGCAGAGCCTGACTTTGACAAGGGGTCTGAAGGAGCTTTGGCCTATTTACACTAGGCTAATTTCTCTCCTGTGCAGAAGAAACAAAAGGCCAAAGACAATGTTGAGGTGCTGATCTAGAATGCTGAAATGCAAGGGCAAGGGAGAGACTACAAACAGCCTTCTTCAACTCCAGGGACCATGGGCCTGATCCGACGCTCATTGTGGTCAATGGAAAGACTCCCGTGGACTATAATGGGAATTAGATCAGGTCCTATGCTATCAGATGAAATTTAAAATCCCCAAGAGATCCAGGTGGTGGCAGCCGTGGAACACAGACTGGTAGTAAGCACTGGGAAAGCCTGAGACCTGGCTTTGAAATACTCCACTGTTTAAGTTTCAGCTTTGCTGCCAGGACTTCACTCTGACTAAACTCTCCCATAAACTTTCATGTGGAATTTTTTTTGGCGGGCGGTGGGGGTGCTTTCTGGTGCTTTTTCTACAACAACACAGCATGCACTGAAGCAGTTGCATTAGGACTGAGAGCAGCAGTTGCAGTGAGAGACTTAAGGAGCTCAATCTGTTTAGCTCAGAGGTGGGCAAACTACGGCCCACGGGCCACATCTGGCCCGCGGGACCGTCCTGCGTGGCCCCTGAGCTCCTGGCCTGGGAGGCTCGCTCCTGGACCCTCCCCTGCTGTCCCTCCTCCCCTGCAGCCTCAGCTCGCTCGCTCCACCGCCGGCGCAATGCTCTGGGCGGCGGGGCTGTGAGCTCCTGGGGCAGCGCAGCTGCAGAGCCCAGCCTCACACGGTGCTCTGAGCTGTATGGTGGTGGTGGCGGCGGCGTGGCCCGGCTCCAGCCGGGTGGCACGGCTCCAGCGCCACCAGCCACCGGTGCTCCAGGCAGCGCAGCAAGGAGGTGGGGGGGGGGGGTTGGATAGAGGGCAGGGGAGTTCAGGGTGGCAGTCAGGGGGCGGTGATGTGGGTGGTGGTCGGGGGGGAAACAGGGGGGTTGAATGGGGGCAGGGGTCCCGGGAGTCAGTCAGAAAGGAGGGAGGGTTGGATGGGGTGGTGGGGGGCAGTCAGGGGCAGGGGTTCCAGGAGCAGTCAGGACAGAGAGAAGGGGTGTGTGGATGGGTCAGGGGTCCCAGGGGGCTGTCAGGAATGAGAGGAGGGGTTGGATAGGGTGGTGGGGATCCGGGGGCGGTCAGAGGACAGGGAGCGGGGGGGTGTGGATGGGGCAGGGGTCCCAAAGGGGCCGTCAGGGAACAGGCAGGGTTGGATGGGGCAGGAGTCCCGGGGGGGCAGATAGGAGGTGGGGGCCGGCCACGACCCCCTCCCCTAACCGACCCTCCATACAATTTACTAAACCCGATGCGGCCTTCAGGCCAAAAAGTTTTTTCCACCCATGGTTTAGCTGATCAAAAAAGAAAATCAAGAGATGGCTTGATCGCGGTGTATAAGTCACTTCACGGGAAGAAAATACCAGATAGTAAAGGACTCTTTAACCTAGTGGAGAAAGGCATAATAGGAATCAATGGCTTGAAGTTAAACCCAGACAAATTCCACTTACAAATAAGGCATAAATTCTTAACAGTGAGGTTGATTAATTACTGGAACAAACTACTAAGGAAAGTGGTGGATTCTCCGTATCTTGATGTCTTCACATCAAGACTGGAGGCCTTCAGTCAAACACAAGTTATTGTGCTCAATTCAGCAGTAACTGGATGAAATTCTATGGTCTGTGATAAAGAGAAGAGCAGACTAGATGATATAATGATCCCTTCCGGTCTTAAAATCTATGTCTCTATGAAGATCTGCTGCATAAAGGAGGATCCAGCACAGATAAAGTCAAAATCCTATCCTCTGTGCATCATGGTTAAAAATTACATGGCTCATCACAGGGGTTAAAGGAAGTGGATGGGGCAGGAATGTGGCCATTTCCTATGGAAAATCCCTGTAGAATTTAATAGATGCATTTCTATAGGATGATCCAAAACTATATCCAGGCTATAGAATTTTGTAGGCTGATTAAAAAATTAACGATTAACAGGTTGTTAGAGTGACAAGGTGGGTGAGGTGATATCTTTTATTGGACCAACTTCTGTTGGTGAGAGAGACAAGCTTTCCAGCCACACAGAGCTGCTTCTTCCTCTCCCACCGCATCTCTCTAATATCCTGGGACCGACCTGGCTACAGCTACACTGCATAGAAACAGGTTGGCATTTTTATTAAATTCGATAGGTATTTGGAGGGCTTTTTATTGAATCCCATTAGCTTCATCCCTGTTAAATTGTACAGGGACCTTTCCATGAGTGGGGGTACAAGTCCAGTGCAGATTCATGGGGACACAAAATGAGTGGGGGGGATGACGAATGTGGGCTCTATCTGCTACTCCACTCCATAAGTACTAGTAAGTACTCCTCTCAGATGCATAAGGCCCTAGAAGTGAGAATTTCCTCCTCCTAATCCCTGTGTCATTACTATGGGAAATCCCCATGTATTTGGGTTTTGTTTGTATGCTCAGAATAATGAAATAACAAACTCTTTAACAAGCTGAGAAACAAAACGGGTGAGGTAATATCTTTGGACCAATTTCTGTTGGTGAAAGAGACAAGCTTTCAAGCACCACAAGGCTCTTCCTCAGATCTGGGAAAGGTCATCAGCGGGTATGTCTACACTGCAATTAACCACCTTCAGCTGGACCCAGTCATCTGATTCGGGCTGTGGAGCTGTTTAATTGCCGGGTAGACATTTGGGCTCTGAGATCCTCCCGATTTGCGGGGTCCCCGAGCTCAGACTCCAGCCCAAGCCTGAACGTCTACACAGGTTACAGCCCCATAGCCCAAGCACCCCTAGTCCAAGTCATCAGATCTGGGCCAGCCACAGGCACTTAACTGCAGTGTAGACATACCCCAAGTGTCACAGCGAAATACAAAGTGGAACTGATTGTTAAACATAAGAAGTTAACACATGTTGCAAGAAAATATTCAAAATGAAGTGGGCATTAACACCTCAGAAGTAGGTCCAATAAAAGACCTACTTCTGAGGGATAGGGGGGAGGGATAGCTCAGTGGTTTGAGCATTGGCTTGCTAAACCCAGAGTTGTGAGTTCAATCCTTGAGGGGGCCACTTAGGGATCTGGGGCAAAATCAGTACTTGGTCCTGCTAGTGAAGGCAGGGGGCTGGACTCAACCTTTCAAGGTCCCTTCCAGTTCTAGGAGATGGGATATCTCCATTAATTTATATTTATTTATTTAAGATATTACCTCACCCATCTTGTCTCTTATATATTCTGGGACCAACAGCACTGCAAACAATATATACTAACCTCTCCTTTACAAATGTCTGTAGCTGTTACAATCCATTCCAGTCGGCGTCGGCCAGGTGTACGGCTGTGATAACCCCTGGACTGGTGGCATCTTCCTGGTTGCTTTATTCATCTCCTCTCCTCTCATTTGCTTGCATGCTGCAATCGGATCAGCAGTGGGGATGCTGGCAGGTATTACAGACTATTTCTCTCTTACAGATGTCATACATGATCACATAATATGAAAATAATTAAAGCCGGTGGAAACATTTGCAATCTATACTTGGTTTTCCTGATGGAAAATAGCTTTTTTGACAAAAAAGAAAACTTTTCCAACAAGCATTTTGGTTGAAGTTTTGATTTTGTGATGAAAAATTTCAAGTTTTCAAAAAAAAAAAAAAAAACATTTTGTTGCAGAGAGGGGAGAAAGCCACTTTCACTTCTCCTCTCCCCTTTCTCAATGGACAAACAGTTAAAAAAAAAAAGCAAGCGAGAGAGAGAGAGAGCACACAAATGATTTTTACACACCAAAATGAAACACAATTTTTCAAATGTCTTTTTTTTTAATTTTGTTTAGAAATTTTTCATTGAAAACATGAAATATATTTTGTAGTATAGTTCAAATAAAACAAAAAAAAGGTTCAAGAAATATACCGACCTTTTTGACCAGCTGTGCAAAGAACAAGAGATTTCTGTGGTTCTGAAATGTAGGGCTGCTGGGAAAGCATTTAGGTCCAGATTCACAAAGGTACCTACATGGCTAACTTCCCCTGGGAGTTAGGTGCTTAAATACCTTTGTGAATCTGGGCCTCACAATCCAAATCTGCCTTCATTCATCAACGTCCAGTGAGGTCATAGAGACAGGGATTCTGTCCTCAGTCACCCCAAGGAAGTCCAGAGTAACTCCACTGGCTTCTCTGGATTTACACCAGAAATCAGAGCTTGGCCCACTGGGAGTGATACCTGCTAATCCTTTACAAGTCTGATTCATTCCAGGGCCGGCTCCAGGCACCAGCTGAGCAAGCAGGTGCTTGGGGCGGCCAAGGGGAAGGGGCGGCACGTCGGGCTCTTCGGCGGCAATTCGGCGGAGGGTCCCTGTCCCTCTCGGAGGGAAGGACCTGCCACCAAATTGCCGCTGAAGAAGGTGGTGGAGCTGCCGCTGATCGCAATCGCGGCGTTTTTTTTTTTTTTCCGCCACTTGGGGCGGCAAAAACCCTGGACCCGGCCCTGATTCATTCCAGTTCTTAGTTTCTTTTATCCCTTAAGCCCAGCAGTGAGATTTTTCTGACTTCCTTTACAGCACTGAGCCTAGCAGCACCTTTTAGCAATATCTACGCTGGCTTGTGGAATTACAACAGTTGCCTCGCATGCATCGCTATCGGGGGCATGTTCTATGCTCTGACATGGCAGACCCACCTGCTAGCAATTGCCTGTGGTATGTACCTGATGGGTGTCCATTACTGGGGTCATTCCTTCTGAAAACGAAAATACAGGAGGCTTTTGTACTAGAGAGGGGTGAAGCCACAAAGTTCACAGCTAGGTCTGCAGATGAACTTAGGCGAGGCTGAAGATTATTTCTGTCAGAGGTGTTGATCCCTCTAATTTATGCTGTCAAAACAAAAATAATACATTTGCCTTCAGCCATGCCAAAGGAAACATCTTTCAAGAGCTGTTTACCTAATAACTCTGTGACTTATGGATAGATGTTTTGATGTATAAAATGTATCTGTTCAATGCTCTTCAACACATCATGCTGGTATAGCTGAAACTAGGGATGGACCCAAACTATTTCCCCAGATATGGACGTGCCTAAACTCTGGAGACAATCAGTACCAGACTGCTTCAGATCCGTCTCTACCTGAAACTACATTGCACAACTTACTATCCCTATTTAAATGGAGAGTGGAATTGTGAGTTAGCTCAGAGTTCTTTCAGAAATGCTTTTATAAAGCAATTCCATGTCAGGTTTCAGTATATCCGCATCATATAGATTTCAGAATGAACCCTTTGCTCATTCAATAAATGAGATTTGATTTCTTCACTGGCTCACATTATAGTCTGGTTGTGTCTAAAGACAGAAGAGATACAGGGGGAAACAGTGCTTTCCATACCAGCCTTCGAGGTGCATCCTTGCAATTTCAGCAGACACATTTCCAATTATTCTCTTTCCACAGTTGTACTCTTAGACTTGTAAACTTTAAGGCCAGAAGGAGCCCTCGTGATCATTTAGTCTGACCTCCTGCTCACCTCATGAACCTCACCCGCCCACTCCTGTAATAAGCCCATAACTTCTGGATGAGTTACTGAAATCCTGAAATCTTGATTGAAAGACTTCAAGTTACAGAGAAGCCACTATTTACAAAAAACAAAAAAGCTTTTTACAGATTCAGACTAACACGGCTACCCCTCTGATACTTGACAGTATTTACAGTAACTCAAACCAGCAAGTGACCCACACTACGGAGGAAGGTGAAAAAAAACCCAGTGTCTCTGACCTGGGGGAAAATTCCTTCCCGATCCCAAATATATTGGTCAGTTGAGACCCTGAGACAAGGTCATTAATTAACATGTTACATAAGATTGGTGGCAAGGCTGATCCCTGAGGAACTCCACTAGTAACCTCCCTCCAGCCTGATAGTTCATGACCCATTGTAGACTCCCATTTAACCAGTTCCTTACCCACCTTTCAATTCTCTTATTAATCCCCATCTTCTCCAATTTAACTAATAATACCCCATGTGGGACTGCTTTCCTGAAATCCAGGTAGATTAGATCTTTTCATTGTTTCATTTCTATTGCTGGGCATGACCTATTGTGCCTTTTGCATGGTTGGAAGGAGCACGCACTCTCTGTGAAAACAAGTTCAGAATGAGACTAATCCTTATGCTCTCATGAATGACAGGACGAGGGGACTCTAAAGTGCAGTGGCAGGGCTTGCCCAAGACCGCTGTCCTTACTCGTTTCTTCAGTGCTGTGAGTAATCTTATTTACCAGGAATTGTCTGTCTGTCTTTTCACAGCATTCTTTTGTGCCTATCTGGGAGCAACTGTGGCCAATATATTTTCTGTGGTAAGTTTTTAATAGCTCGGGGCCAACTAAAAGAGGAGTGAGATATGTTTCTGAAGACAGATTTAAATTTAGTTTCCTAATCTCCAGTGTGGTATAAACAGGTTATATGTACAGAGCCATCCCATCCCATTGAGAAGGCATCCCTGAACCCCACCAAAGCGGGAACAGGTTTTGCCACATGGGACAGTTGCACTGCTCATTAACATATATTATAAATAACTTAGAACTTTTCATCTTCAAAGTGCAGGCCCTACATGAACTAATCATCCCTCAATATCTCTGCAAGGTAGGGCTCATTAGCCATATTTTACAGCTGAAGACACTAAGGTCTGGTCTACACTGGGGGGGGGATCAATCTAAGATACGCAACTTCAGCTACGAGAATAGCGTAGCTGAAGTCGACGTATCTTAGATCGACTTACCTCCCGTCCTCACAGCGCGGGATCGATGGCTGCGGCTCCCCCGTCGACTCCGCTTCCGCCTCTCGCCCTGGTGGAGTTCCGAAGTCGACGGGGAGCGCGGTCGGGGATCAATTTATCGTGTCTAGACGAGACGCAATAAATCGATCCCCGATAGATCGATCGCTACCCGCCGATCCGGCGGGTAGTGTGAACGTACCCTAAGGCCCCGTTCACTTAGGACGTACCCTAAGGCCCCTAGGTATGTAGGCGCCTAACTCCCACAATGGGAGTTAGGCACCTGAATGCCTTTGAGGATATAGGACTAAGTGACTTGCCCAGGTAGACCACCTTAAGGACCTAGCCAGAGATTGATCCAGATGGCACTCAATTTGCAAGGAAGCCGGGTTTGTCATGATTTGTCATGATTTGGGATTTGTCATGATGGTGATGATGACAACAACAACTTGCCCAGGTCCCCAAAAGGCGTTGGTGCAAGAACCAGGGCAGAGTTAATTTTCTGGCTTCTACTCCTGCATTCAGATCTATAGCCGGCTGGCCACATTCTGTCCGGCTTCACACTTGACCTCACTGGAGTTGCATAGGTGTGACAGAGGGAAGGATTTAGTCATACACCATTCTCTGTGCAGCCCGTACTTATCGTATGTGACAGGTCCCATAATGACAGAGAGTCCTGTGGCACCTTTAAGATTAACAGATGTATTGGAGCATAAGCTTTCGTGGGTGAATACAGGGCCGGCTCCAGGCACCAGCCGACCAAGCACATGCTTGGGGCGACACCTTAGAAGGGGCGGCCAATGTTGGAGTGACGGGGGCCGCTCGCGGTGGTTTTGTTTTTGTTTTTTTGTTCGGCGGGGCGGCGCTCAAGGGTTTTTTTTTTTGTTTGTTTGTTTTGGCCGGGCAGCGTGGGGGGTGTTTCGGCGGTGCTGGGGGGGAGGCGGGGGCTTCGGCGGCTCAGCACTTGGGGGGGGGCCGAGGGGGCAGGGGTTTGGGCGGCCCGGCGCGGCGCTCGGGGGGGGCGGAGGGTTGAGCGGCCTGGCACTCCGGGGGTTTGAGCGGCCCGGCGCTCCGGGGGTTTGGGCAGCCCAGCGCGGCGCTCGGGGGAGTGGGGGGTTGAGTGGCCCGGCGCTCTGGGGGTTTGGGCGGCCCGGCATGGCACTCGTGGGGGGCGGCCCGGCGCTCTGGGGGTTTGGGCGGCCCGGCGAGGCGCTCGGGGGGGCGGGGGTTTGGGCAGCCCGGCACGGCACTCTGGGGGGCGGAGGTTTGGCTGGCCCGGCGAGGCGCTCGGGGCAGGGGTTTGGGCGGCCCGGCGAGGCACGCGGGTGGGGGTTTGGCTGGCCCAGCGCGGCGCTCGGGGGGGTTGGGCGGCCCGGTGCGGCGCTCGGGCGGGGGTTTGGCCGGCCCGGCGCGGCCCTCCGGGGGTTTCGACGGCCCGGTGCAGCGTGGCGCTGGGGGGGTGTTACGGCGGGGCAGCGCTCTTCTTTTTTGCCTGGGGCAGCAAAAAAGTTAGAGCTGGCCCTGGGTGAATACCCACTTCGTCAGACGCATGGTATTCACCCATGAAAGCTTATGCGCCAATACATCTGTTAGTCTTAAAGGTACCACAGGACTCTCGGTTGCTTTTTACAGATCCAGACTAACACGGCTACCCCTCTGATACTTGGTCCCATAATGTTGTTACCATCCCACAAGCAAATGTCTATGCTTTGGTAAAGAGGAAAAAGGCAGCTACCCACTTGGGAAACAAGACTCCTCTGAGAAGGCTCATCGCAGACCTCCTAGCTTTGAATTATGTTTAAGCCTGGAGGATTAAGTTAAGGAGGGTCCCAGAATGATTAAAATGATGAATATTCTCTTCTTTTCAGTTCGGATTACCAGCGTTTACCTGGCCTTTCTGCTTGTCTGCACTCACCTTTCTGTTACTAACCACAAACATCTCTGCCATCTACAAGTTACCTCTTGCCAAAGTCACTTACCCAGAAGCCAACCGAGAGTATTACCTCACAATGAAGAAGCAGTACTGGGTTTACGATGGCGCCAGTGGCGCCGTGGCGCCGTGCCCAGACTCAGAAGGGGCCCCGGCCAGCCTGATCACCCAGCCAGCTGAGCCAGCCAGGAAAGCTGTCTCCGCCCCTGCTCTGCCCCCGCCCCACCTCTTCCCAGCCCTGCTCCGCACCAGCCCCGTCCCCACTCCATCCCCTCCCCTAAGCTATGCGTCCCGGGGGACTGCAGCAGGGGTTGGGCACACCCTGCACTCAGCGGGTGGTGGGAAGTGGAGTGACCCGGCCCCAGCCCGCTCCACTCTGCCAGCTCCTAGCCGTGCCACCGGTGAGTGCCGGAGGGCAGTTCCCCCCTACCCCGCAAGTCCCAAGGCTGGGAGCCAGGGGAGCAGAGCAGAGCGGGCAGGGACCAGGTTACTCCACTTCCCCCCACCCCATGAGTGCGGGGTCGGGCCCACCCTGCAATCACCGGGTGGCAGGAAGTGGAGCGACCCAGCCCCAACCCGCTCCGCTCCGCTGGCTCGTGCTGGGTGGCGGTTTACCCCCTGTCCCACAAGCCTGGGGAGGAGATGGAGCAGTGGGGAAGGGGCATGGGATGGGGAAAAGAAGGGGATGGGGGCAGCAGGGACAGGGGGACAGAGGCAGGAGGGAAGGAAGGGGGTGGGATGTGGAGGAGATGGAGCAGTGGGGAAGGGGCATGGGATGGGGAAGAGAAGGGGATAGGGGAAGCAGGGGCAGGGGGAAAGAGGCAGTGGGGAAGGAAGGGAGTGTGGTGGGGAAGAGATGGCGCAGTGGGGAAGGGCATGGGATGGGGAAGAGAAAGGGATAGGGGAAGCAGGGGCAGGGGGGAAGGAAGGGGGTGGAGTGGGGAGGAGATGGGGCAGTGGGGAAGGGGCATGGGATGGGGAAGAGAAGGGGATGGGGCAAG